CAAATAAAAAGTTGGATAAAGCTAGTGAAATAGATAAATGTTGAAAAAAATTTGAGAAAAAATGAATAAATTAATACTTATTGATTACTCTACGACAGTTACTGTTGACATAATATTTTTTAGATACAGGAGAATTTCAATCTTAAACGAAAAACAGAACCACCAAAATGAAAATTTCACGGTTGTAAGGTAAAAGTAAATGAGAAAGAAAATTTTTTTTCCATGTCACCGTGAAGGTTTTTTTTGTTTTTCAATCTTTTTTTCCAGTTTGTATACACTTTGATCAACTAAACAGAAAATAATTGTCTTGTTTTTTTCTTATTTTTTTTTTCAGCTGCATTTTAAAAAGTTTTTTGATATTATAGACGTTTGTATAAGCATCAGTTATCAACTGATTGTTGCATAGTTCAATGGTTGTTAAATCTGTCAATTAAGTTAATCACCGTTTCTTTACGTAATGACTTGTCTGGAAAAATGTAAAAATCAAAAAGAAAAGTTATAAAAATGGCATTTAAGATGATTTGTTATAAAAATAACACTTAATATTACGTTTTGCGGCATTTAAAACATACTTTTAATTATTTGGATAATATCATCAATTTGATATTATCGTCATCGACGGCATTTGCACTCAGATTGAAACGATAATACGTATATCATCAGTAAAGCTTTAGATTTTGTCAACAAAACTTATTATAGGCTTAGCAATTGTTTTCACTTACAGTTTTCATTTACTGACAACTTTTTAGGCAACAGTATTGCCGATTTGTAGACAGTGATAATACCACTTGTTTTATAATTCTTGTGGTTTCTCTCTTTTCAACTTTAGTATAAGTAAAATCAAATGACAAAAAAAAGGAAAAAAAAGGATTTCTTTTTTGAGATATTTTAAAAACTGATAATATGTTAGAAAATTGTTATCTTTTTTTTACAACGTGAAGGTGACTTGTCACAACAATTAGGTCAAAAACTTATCAAAGTTTCTAAAATAATTTACCTGTTTAGAATAATTGCTATTTTTAAAGCACTAAAGACAATAACAATTTTGCTTACTGCAAACAGAAACCACTAACATAAATTTCTAGTTGAACATTATCTCAATCTGCCCTTCTCCAACATTTGCGCGTCCAACAATCACTGTATTTATTATTAGACAGTTTTGAAACAAAAAAAAAAAAAAGAAAAACGAAAAGTTATTAACCAATTTATAGACATTTTTTCTTTTCTGTCTGAAAACAGGCAAAAATGAATACAAGAAAAAGTGAAGAAAAATAAATGATATAAAAGCTGTTTTGTATGCACAAATTGGCACAACTTACTGTCGGTTTGGTTTTAATCTCGATTTCTTTGGCTACAGAATCACTTCATTTGTAACCGTCTTCTAATCCATCAAAATAAAAAAAAATTTTATATATCTTCTTTTTTTTTCTAAAATTGTTTTTTAACAAAAACTTTGAATAAATTTTATTACCTGTCATCATATGTCTGCTACTGTACGGCTAACCATACAGATACATACAGATACACAGACAGACACGGACTCAGATACGGATACAGACACCAACATAAACAGAAACACAGATATAACAGATACGTCTGTAGACCGTTGAAATTTGTCAGTATGTCACCGTCGTCGTTGTTGTTGCATGAATTTTGCTCTTCTGTTTCGTCATCTACGCAAAACTTTAATCTGTCTTCTGCATTGCCCATTCGTTTCCCCTTCCCCCTTCCCCCTTTCCCCTTCCCCTTTTCCCCTTCTCTCCCAGTTTTCCATCACTGAAACCCCTATCAGCTCAAATACTAAAATTGGTAGATTTGCAGTTTTTGTTTTTGCCTTTCATCTTCATTTCCAGTTTTATTGTTATATTCTCCTTTTTTTTTTTTTTTTTTTTTTTTTTTTTTT